CGCTCACCCATGCATGTAAAAGGGGAGAGGTTGAAAAGAATAAAAGCCCTAATAACTACATGATCAGTCCAGTTCTAGACAGGGATCTTGTACCATGTAGTTCATCTAAGAAGTAACATTTAATTCTAAGTGTAATTTAGTACGGTTGTTACATGTATTTGAAACTGAAAGTAAATGTTTTGTAAGCATAATCTTTTATTATATGTAATTATAACTGAGATGAACTTTGCCCTCAACACTTCATAACCTTGGATAGGAACATGAGGAAAAATAGCTAATTAGGAATCCTCATGCACCCAGTCCAGTGCTCCCTTAATCAAAAGTTAGTTGAAATCAACTGCCTCTGGATTCCATGCTCTCAAGTACTGTATTGATTTTTGAGACATGATTTTCTTTTACAACAGGGACAGTCACTGTTAAATTTCCTAAATAACTTATTTGGGAAAGTTTCCTCACAAAGTCAGGCTGGACTGGGAGCTGATAGGCCAAGGTAATCAGCTGTATAAATAACTGTATATGCTTTAAAGTATTACAAGAAGTACACAGAGCACAAGTCTGGGTTATAAAAGCCCTTTTATAAAGCCATTTTTAAACAAAACAAAACAAAAAGTTTACAAAAGAAAAAAAGATACAGAAAAAGAATAACTTGCTTCATATGTCCCAAAAAGAGAAAAAAATAAAGGGGACAATGCCAACATGCTCAACAATAAAGGGTTCTTTTTCTTATTTTTTAATACAAAATACAAGCGAAGGATACACATACTTAAAACAGAGCTCAGGAGCAGACACGCAGTCCTGGAAACCCTTCAATAAAAGCAAAGCAGGAGTTTGTTTTTTTCTTTGTCTATGCAGATACATACAGAGACTGGGATATGTGAAAATTAAGTATCACAAAAGACCATCACACGATTCTACCAATGCATGTTGCATCTATAATTCACGAACATGGTCAACAAATCATGTTCACTTCAACCCTATTTCATTTAAATTAAAGAAAAAAACTTTTAAATAAAGTGGTTACATTCAAACTTTAACTTCCTTAGTACCATGCTGCAGATTTCAGCACTGTTAAGGTATTGCAAGAATGCCCAACCCTCTGGCGTCTGATCATGTATCTAGCAACATTGCAGTATGAAGTAAGGGATGCCCCGGTCTCAGCTCATGGACTAATTAATACATTTAAGCAGGTTCCTCTTTTTTTACCCTTCCTGCTCAGAATATAAAAGATTAAGAACTAAAATCAAGGAGACTGGGAGTTTTAGAGCTGGCAAAATGAAAAGTCTAAAAGATGAATCAAGGCAAACAATTACTGAGAACTTGGCTGCTGCTTAACCTGGCAAGTCTTAAAGTCTTTCCTTAAACCTTGCAGGAATTAGGCATATAAGGTTTGCTGCAACACGTTCAGGGTAAACAAACTAAGTAGAGCTCTTATTTACAAATCTTGTAACAAATACTTCTGGAGGAAAAAAAAGAAAAGAATTCACTAATTTCCAGAAGACAAAGGTTTAACTGCCAGACATATACAAACACACACTCACACACACATTCACACAATACTTCAGGGGTTTTTATACATGTTATTTTAGGGCATAAGCTTAGTACTATACTCCCACACCCCATCAAAAAAGGAACAAAAAATCCCAATTTTACCCTCCCCCCATAATCTAGAAAACCCTCCCTTCACCCCTGATGTACAAAGAGTATGCACAACGGTGGCATTCTACCAGCCACACGAAGCATGCTCAGACAGATGTCACCAGTTCAGTCATTTCATTGGCATGGCAACAGGCAGGTTTACGGGATTTTTCCCAATAGTGGTTAATACACAGTCAGCACCACTGTGAATTTTGTGAATTAGACTTTGAAAAAAAGTGTAACTTACAGATTTGGGATTCAAACAGGGAATCATGTTGTATCGAGTTTATCCAAAACTAAAGGGAAAATGGGTTGAGAGTGAAACTTTATCCTATAGATATTCTGATGTCCCAATACTCAAAAAATAAACCAATTCTCCATTTTCAAGTAAACCCAACTTCATCCAGAGAATAGGATAATTTTCTAACCTCTGGAGCAACCAGCTTGTTATACTTTCACTCTCCCTTGGCAGAAAATGTGTAACTACTTGTTCTAAGTATCTTGATCTAAATGCCATAAAGACCAAGGCCAGGTTTCGTCTTTTCCAAACTTTTAAGTTTATAGTTTTTTCTTTTCAGTGCAGCTACTGGTGATGTAGGCAAAGAAAGAACTGCTCAAACCAGTACTTGTTCTTTAGAACAGCAACAACGGCCACATAATCTTTTATAAAACTTTCTCCATTGCTCCTGGTATTAAATTCTGCTCTTGTCTTTCTAACACTCTCAAAGCATCTCCTAAACTGAAGTTTGATTAAAGAAAAGCACTATTCCCTTCCCCAACCAGTACACTAAAATCCACTTGTTCCTTGAATGTTCATGGGTTAAAAAAAAGAACCATTAAAAGAAAGTGTCACGTTCAGTTTAGGCTGACACAAGAGTGTCAAAACCTTTACTGGATTATAACTTCAAATTCCACTCTTGATTTATCTACAAGAAAATGCTATTTGAACCAATACCAAGAATTACTACTGAATTGAGGATTGAACTGGGCAAACCAGTTATTGTGAAATACCAATATCAAAGCTCCTGCAATAAGGGAAATCAACTACTGTTATTCAAAATTAAAAGATTTCCACTCATCATCTCCCTAAAGGAGGAAACACCCATTAATTTTCCTTTATGGAATCAATAGGGAGTGGTGACATGAAAGAGGGAGATGTTCAGAAACAGGACAAATCTACCATCACTGAAATTAAAATGTATCCTTTGGGCCCACTCCACTAATTCTGATCTGAGGTGGGGAGAGCTAAAATCAACAGCAAGTTATACAGAGACTGAATAAAATGTAAGCTACCCATTTCTAGCTGGGGTAGGGTCAGGATTAAACGAATCTTAAGAACTAGAATGTAGTGTCAGTCAGCGTAGCTGCTGAAATCTATGTTATAGAGGTAAACCTAGCAGAGCTAAATAGAGAATTCAGATCACACAAACAAGCACCTTCAGAGTTAATGTCCCACTTCCTGAGCACTGTAAAATAAGACAGTGAATGCTATTGCCATTTCACCATAGGCACACTAGAAAAAAAGAGGAAGTTTAGTCAAGAATGGTGCCAATGGCCAGTCACTATCGGCTTATAGCTTGTAATACATCCTTACATCACTTTCAAGCCTGACTATTGAGCACCTGTTTCCAGTTGAGTTGCCACAACTGTCCTCCTATTTGCATGCATGATTTTAGGGGAAGACTAGAGTGTTTTAAATCAATAAAAAGTGGAGAAACCAAAAGTCATTCAGAGCCTATCTCACTTGGGGACACAGATCCTCTGTCCAGTATATTAGATATATAGAATACATTTTCCAACCTAATGAATTAATTTTAAAAGGGACTCTAAACAAGAAGCCCAATCAAATGCACACAAGTAACCCAGAAGACATGATTATCTCTAAAGTACGTGCGTGTATCACAATCAGAGATGTTAGTGCAGATAAATGTATTAAAGAGGCTGTTACACAAAAAAATCGAGGCTAAAGTTTTAAAAGAGCCCTCTCCCAATCTTCATGAAACATAACTAAGGAAAGCCCAAATGTTACTAGGAATGTAAGACAAAGTAATAAACCCCTAAAAAATAGAAGTGCACGGTGGAAACACTGATCAGTTTTTTACTATATGAACACGAACCTTTTTGTTAAAGATGGAGACCTGAATAAACCCACTAAAGCAAACAGAATAATTCTTAACATCCTCATTACAAAGTTCACAACTATAAATTTAACCATCACAAAAGATAATAACCCAACTGCTACTTATGTTCAAGTCCTGTATTTTTGGCCATGTACTAAAAACTCCTTAACCATTCTTTAACACGCAGTGCAACAGTGAAATGACTCTCTGCCACTGTATGTTTTAAAAAAATCAGAGTAAGAATGTTCTTTAAAGTGTCTAAAAATCAGAGTGAAAATACTCCGTAAGTAACCCTTTGTCCTAGAAACACCTGCAAGAAAGCCATGTTTTCTGAGAAAAATATGCTGTCACTTAGACAGAAAAAAAACCACAAAAGGAAGATATTGAGGAAGAAAATGTAGATTAAAAGGCATAACTTAAATTTCACCAATTTTTCTATTTATTAGCATACTAGGACTCCTAAACCTTGCTTCCTATAGCTCATGGTATCAGGATGCAGATGATCAAACCTATGGATCTATCTCCTGAATGCTTTCATAAGGCAAAAAATCTGTTATCAACTGCACAAAGGCTTCCTAAAATGCATGGTTTCTCGTCTTGCTGAGTCCCAGTCTCCTGCTTTAAGCAATATGAGCAGTAAGCAGGGGGTCGGACTAACTAAAAAGAAGAAAGCAAACCAAACAGTATGGGAGCAGCATTTAACATACTCTCGTTAAGTACAGGATGGGAAGGAAGTGAAGAATAGAGCCAGGAAAATAGTGCCATGTAGTAAAACTGGTAGGCACTGGGGGTAGGTGAACACTGGGAAGTAGAGAGATGTACTTCATACCACATTTCTATGAAGAAACAGGAAGATCCACGTATGAAAAGGAAAATGTTCTATCTCCAAATAAAAACAAAGCATGGTTCATGGGATCTGAATGCACATTTATAGCATAAAATAATTTCAACTCTCTATTTTCATGAAGGAAAAATCTCAACTCTTTGTGACTTAGTTTCATATTAACTGGAATTTTATTTGCTTAAAACCTAAACATTGTCAGTTTGAGAAGAAATCCACAATGATGTGTAGGCTGATCCTGCCGATTAAATTCTAGCATGGGTTTTTTTGGGGGGATCCTTGGTAAAATTTTATCTGAAAAACAGGATACATATATATTTTTAAAACATGAATCGTTAGAGAATGAAATATAAAACAAGAGTGTTTCAGTTTTTACCACCCCCCTTTTTTTTTTTTTTTTTAGCTCCTTAAAGGCAGTAGCAGGATAAAAGTATCACTGGCTCTGAGTGTCTTAGAGATAAGTGATGAAACAAAAAAAGAAAACCACACCCTCAAACAGGGTCAGGTACCCCCATTTCCTGCCCTCTCCCCAAGGTAAAAATGAGTACTTTCAATAATAAGTCAGAATTCATCTTTTTCTCCTACCTGCCTCATCAGTGGAAGTTCAAAGTCATGATTTTTTAGACATTTATAAAGACAATATAAACTCATATTAGATGACAATTAATTTTTTAAAAGTCCAGGTAGAGAATGAAGTGGTCATTTTTAACTAAGACCTTTCTACGTTTTTGATTACTGTTCAACTTGCTATCATTAGCAAAAAGCAAAGTTTCCATAGTGTTCATCTCAACTCTTATTGCTTTACAACTGTGGTACACCTTCCATTAAAAATAAAAAGATGAAGCAGTCAATCCAGTGATTAATTTGTCATGGCTTTCATTGGTGGGGGAGGGGAGTAGTGGCAAAGAGAAGACCAGCAGACAAAAAGGTAACTTAAACATACAATGGTTTTCTTAAAAAAAAAAAAAAAAAAAAAAAAGAGAGAGAGAGAAAATGTTATTTTAAACAAATGGAAAAAAGCACTGAAAGCCCATGAGTCAAGCCATAGCCAAAACCATGTTCTATCTTAAGTAGGTTCTCTTTTTCCCCTCTTTTTTTCTTTTTTCTTTTTTTAATAAAATCTCTCCCCAAACCATCATCACTTTTAATCCTCCCCAGACTGGGCTTCATCTTCAGACCCTTCATCCCCAGATTTCTCGGGTGGGGGGCTTGCAGATGTTTTCTTTTCTGGAGGGCTTTCTGGTTCCTCATCTTCCTCTTTGGGAGAAGGAGTCTTTTCCTTTGATGCCTTTGAAGCTGTGGGGCGGCCCACTTTCCCTTTGCCTTTCACTGGGCTTGGTGTTACTGAAAGAAGAAAAATAACAATTTGGGGAAGAAAAGAGAAAAAATACTTTTATGCTGCAGTAGTTTCCAATAATCTTTTACCAACACTCTACTGTTATGTTAGTAGTAATGCTTTTCCCGAGTGCGCCACGGGCTCGGCAGTAGTAATGCTTTTAATAAAGAAACATGACGCTACAGAAAATGCACATCATCCTTAATGCCTTGTGAAACTAAAAGTTATGTTTAAAAAGCAATTAAAAAAGAGGGGAGGAGAATAGAAACTGAAGCATCAAATAACTTTTGATAGTTCTATCATTCCCAACAGTAAGTAGTTGATGAGCAAAAGTTTAAAAATCACTAGTTTTGCCAGAATAAAACCACTTATACAAAAAGCAAATCCAGATTTCTGATTTAATTAACAAACTAACTCCAACTAAAAGAACATCTGGCAGAAACCACTAAGGCTCAGAGAAATGAATCCATGTCATCAAGCGTGGTTTTATTCTAACAGCACAGAGGAAAGGGTGGAGATCAGAACAGAGAACTTAAATGTTCGTGCATTTTCACAATTGCAAGTCTTCACTCACTGCTGGGACTGTAGGAAAAAAGAGCAGTAATAGCTATGTTGAACAGTGTTTCTACCACTGTGCCTGACACAATAGGTCATTTCCAAATCTTGCTTATGTATGGCAGTTGTTGAAGAACAGGGCTAAGTCCACCAGACTCTTGGAGGGGCTGGAGTTCTTATTAATTAATAAGTGATACTTTTAGATGTAGAAGACAGGATCCTTTCAGATTTCTTGTATTCCTGTTAAATATGAGGACAATGCCAAGGCCTAATGAAGAATTTCTGCAGAGAAAGTACTGGTTCTTGAAATTTTTTAAAGCAATAATTTAATTTCACTTCTGCAGAGCTCACCTGTAGCCTTTAGCCTGGGCTTGGGCATTTTCTTTTCTTTTCTCTCAGGTTTGGACTTCTTAACCATCTTTTTGTTTTTCTTTTTTGAACTGCCATAGTCACTATCATCATCATCTTCCATTAGGAAATCTTCATCACTGCCGGAATCTTCTGAGAGGAAAGAAGAATTTCAACGTCCAACTTAATGTACACATCCTTCCAAGTGAACAAAGGGAGAGAGTGCTAAGAATCACTCTTGGATTCTATCTGTAGCTGTACTACGAATTTGGTTGGAGCTGTCACTGGCCTCATCTATAAAATGGGTTTAGCAAGTACCTCACATGAAGGTTACATGATTGACTTTGTTTGAAGAGTAAGTTGAAAACAGGAAGGGATAAGAGTTAATCTGAGTAAAAACTAAAATCATCAAATAACTTTTGGAAGCTCCATCATTCCCATGTTATACTGAGTGACACCAGGGAAATGAGACTGAACTGACCTGGATTTTTTGTCCAATTATGAATGAATGAAACAAGAAAACTACATACGAAGCAAAAACACATATAATTAACTAATTTGAATAACTGTGAAACATCTAAATTCTGTTATTAACATTTTTTGTGGGGAGAGGATATCTACAACCTCCTCCGCCAGGCCAAAATACAAATCTCAAACGCCAAGATCCAATGTCACTACTCTAACTACTATTCACTTTGTGTTTGAACAAACATTATTAAATAAAGAGTATAACCACTGCAAATGCTGTGGACAATCATGAGAATCTTTAAAAATATTAATGGCTACCACCACAGTCATCTCTTTTAACAGGGAGTATTTACTTAATTTAAGGGACTGGTTATAACATTTAGCATCTTAGAAAGCACCAAAGTAATAAAGGTCAGAAACTACAATCACAATCAAACAACCAAAGTACACTAGCCAACTTCACGTACTCTCCTGGAATGGTGCCTCATCCTCTTCTTCTTGTTCTTCCTCACTGCCCACATCTTCCATGAGCATCTCTCTCTGTTTAGAAGCTGCTTTAGATGCTGCCTGCCGTTGCTGGCGCACATTTTTATGATCTTCTTTTTCATCTTCACTGTCCTCTGTAATATCAAAGTTATCATGATGCAATGATCACAGAATTTTGTATTTGACAGCTGACTGAAAAAACCAACACAGTGGCCAATATGACATACAGCCTGCAGCTTTATTTCATTCTAAACAATATCAAAGTTATCATGATGCAATGATCACAGAATTTTGTATTTGACAGCTGACTGAAAAAGCCAACACAGTGGCCAATATGACATACAGCCTGCAGCTTTATTTCATTCTAAAAGGGTAAATTCTATCCTTAGAAATTCCCATAAAATATATAAAAGGGGACCAAAATTTAAAAAGAATAAACTTGAATAAGACTATGTACTCACTGTTGCATGTAAAATAACTTAGGCATGTAGTTTTAAGCAATGACAAAGCTGAATTACAGTGTGAACACATTTCCTGTGACATACTTTAAACTTATATCATTGCTTTGCTCTAAAATTCTCAATGACATTCAAATCTATGTTCACTGTTTTTAGAAGCTAAAGTTAGAAAAATATTTTAAAAAATAGTATGAGAGGGGAAGAATGTCTTCCAATGATCTTTATTCTAAGGTATATAACATGTAAACCCTAAAGAAATGTCAAACTACTACTCTTTACAATGAATGGGATGTGATCATTTCAATTTAGAGGGGATTGAAGAAACCTTAAAACATATATTTAGATAAATTAGCTAAAGACTTTTGAACAAGTTTATAAAAAGTTTACTTTCATATTCTATAGCCTATTACTTAAAAAAAAAAATTTCAACACAGTTGTGCTTGTGAATAAATCTGCTTTTAAAGGGAAGGCTGCCAGCCTACTGCCTCTAGACAAATCTACATTTGTATTAGTCTCTATAGCCCTTTTCTTGAACTTTTAGGCTCCCTTATTCTGTTAAGGTTTAGCTGTCGTTCTTCTGAAAATACTCCTAGTCCTATGAGCCTTGCCATGGTCACTGTTCTGTCAAAAACATCATCTAGAGATAAATAGAGAATAAAACTGACCTTGGCAGACCCAAAGCTAAACCCACCTGGTAGGAGCTGTACCTAAAACTAGTACAATTGTTTATCTTAAAGTTTTCAACTAATAAATGTAAGAAATTCAAATTAGGGTTCACAAGGTAAACGAATGGTAATATACAGTATTACTATATTATCACAAGATTATAAGGTTAATAAAAGTTCTTTTCAACTCAGGCAGCGAGAAAACATCCTTGAACAGGAAGGAAAGCAAAACAGCTCAGTGGAGTGAATTTAGTGGAACCCTGTCTACCCTCTACATATTAGCTAAAGAGCAGTTTCATTTAAAGGGAGATCCAGAAAGAAAACAGCAAGTAAACATAGGTCAAAACTAAAGTGACTGTAAACAATATGAAATAAAACTCACAATTCTTAGAAGAGTTAAACTTAAAAATAAATACTAAAAACAAGTCAAGTCATCAGGATTGAACATTTTATTTGGCCATGGAGACTCCTCATTAATTCACATTAATTCTTTTAAGTTAAAATTCTTACAAAAACCCTTTCTTTATGGCTACCATTTCAAGAGACTACTCCCCAGCCAAAAAGAGTGAGAATGAAATTTACTTTTGCTTTTCAACCCAGTCAATCATTCCCCCCATTTTATACCTTTATTTTACTTAGTGTTATATATATATATATCTATTATTCTGTTTAGTTTGATGTCTTTTAGTTGTTCATGTAAATGGTTTTCAATCTTGACTCTGCATGAGAGTAATCTGTAGATACTTAAAAAAAAAAAAAACAAGGCCGGCCCGGTGGCGCACTGCTACAGTGCGCTGCTTGGGAGTGCAGTGGCGCTCCCGCCGAGGGTTCGGATCCCACATACAGACGGGTTCCTGCTCACTGGCTGAGCGAGGTGCGGCCACAACACCGAGGGTTGCGATCCCGTTGCCGGTCCCGGTCCGGTCCGGGCGTGACACTGAGGGTTGCGATCCGTTGCCGGACACGGAAAAACAAACAAACAAACAAACAAACAAACAAACAAAAAACAACAACAACAACAAAGCCCCAGCATCCCACCTAGACCCACTGAATATGAAATCTTGGGGCAGGGCCCAGAATATGTACTTTAAAAAAGTGTCATAGGTGGTTCTATCAATCCACCAGGATTAAGAATCACTATTAGCTCTTTGAAGATGGAGATATCTTTGTAATCCCACCATTTGCAATAGTGCCTAGCATATAAAATCACTGCTAAATGTCTAATAAATAAATATATGAATAGAGTTATATCTATTACATTAAAAATTGTTTACTACCTGCTGAGTGAGAATCGTCCTTCTTGGTCTTCACATCTTTTTCTTCTGAGTCCTCACTGTAAAGAGAAAGGGAAACAGTGTTTAGATCAAAGTCTAAGTAAACATAGATCTCTGATATCTGACTTCAGAACATCGAAAAATACCTTTTTTATACACAAAATGTTCAAACAGAGTGAAACTGCTTCCATTATTTCCTCACTTTACAGAGATGCTGACGAATATGCACAATTTTATCTACTTTGGAAAACACTGCTTCCAAAACCCCAAAGAGAAAAAAGAAGGTATCTCAACACAGGGTGAAAATTTCTCATGTATGAGTACAGTCTGGTTCACGAGAGTATTTAACAAGAAAAATATCCTCTGTGAACAGAGGCAGAGCATAAAAATACTAAAAACAAATTATATAATGTGCTAATGGCAAATTAGGCAAAAAATAATCACTAAATGTAGATGCAAATAACACCTAAAATACCTAATATTATTAAAGGGAATTGGAGGGCCGGCCCGGTGGCACACTGCAGAGTGCGCCGCGTGGGAGTGTGGCGGCGCTCCCGCCGAGGGTTCGGATCCCATGTGGAGACCGGTTCCCGCTCACTGGTTGAGCGCGGAGCGGGTGCAACACCGAGGGTTGCGATCCCGTTGCCGGTCCCCGGTACGGGTGCAACACCGAGGGTTGCGATCCCGTTACCGGTCAGTAAAAAAGAGAAAAAAGGAAAAAAAAAAAAAAGGGAATTGGAGTTCAGACATATAACTTACGATATGCCTAAAAATTTATCTAAAACAAAATGAAAATAAATCAATTTAACTCCTAATAATTTTTGGTTCCAGTATTTCTTTGCACAGAAACATCAACATATTGGCTTGCCTCATACCGTGGAAAAAATAAAAGTGAGCTTAAGATCACTCTGCAAGGTAAAATAAGTTAAGGAGCTTCAAAGCTCAATGGAAAGTTTTTAAAAACAATTTTTAAAGTCATAAACATACACATATTATGTCCTCACAAGTTTTAACTTGGGAATCTGTGCTCTAGTGTCCCATGTTTGTTATTAATTAGTTGTATGATCTCAGACAAATCACTTGGTGCTCTTCAGTGCTAAAATTTTATGATTCTGTCAGAAATTTTGACAAACGAAAAAGAAACACTCGTACATAAAAACTGCCTCCATAGCTTTCCTTTCTCAAACAGCAGGTCTTATAAATAAACTTTTGGTATTCCCCATAATCTAGACAACACTCAAATGTCAAACTACTGAACCCAAGATTCCTAGGCAAAGAGAAAAACCAAATTTCTGTACTAAGCAATCTGACTTCAAGACACTTTATAATTTCTGAAACCTGTGACTCTTCTATGTAGATGTGTATATGCAAAATAAATCTTTAATTCACAAGTCTAACACAATGATAAAGAATTATATTATTTTCTCTAGTTCCTACTGAGTTTATACAGACTATTAATCCTTAAGTGCCATTAAAGCAAAGTCAAGAGAAAGCCAAATATTCAAGTGGAGACCAACAGAAAAATCAACACAGGTCCGAGGGAATAAATATAAGAGGCACTTAATAAAATGGGAATAAAAACTGTATTTATCTCGATCATTCCTGACACTTAGGGGAGGATAATAAAATCAAATGACTGCTAACAAGAAAACATTTAGGCTAGATATTAATTACATCGATGAGACATTATAACATGCCATGAAGCAGCTCATTCCTAGGAGAATTTAATAAATGAATATAATGAAAATAGTTCTAAATTAGGCTACTAAATAAAATTGGATTGGAAATATACTATGTGCTATAGTTTGAACTTCCCCTTCCAAAGCTGATCTCGAAACTTGATTCCCACTGTGGCAGTATTAAGGGGTGGGAAATCCAACTATGGTATTTGAAAGACGGGGCCTTTAAGAGGTTATTGGAAGGGCCAGCCAGTGGCTCACTCGGGAGAGTGTGGTGCTCATAACACCAAGGCCGCAGGTTCGGATCCCATATAGGGATGACCGGTTAGCTCACTGGGTGAGCGTGGTGCTGACAACACCAAGTCAAGGGTTAAGATCCCCTTACCGGTCATCTTAAAAAAAAAAAAAAAAGGTTATTGGAAAATGAGGGCTATGTACACATGAATAGATTAACTCATTCATGGATTAATGGGTTAATGGATTAATCAGTTATCAAGGAAGTAGACTGGTGGCTTTATAAGGAGAAGCAGCATGTGAACATGCTTAGCCTCCCTCACCATGTGATGTTCTGCACTGCATCACGCCTCTGCAGAGTCCACACCAAGAAGAAGGCCCTCACCAAATATGCTCCCTCAACCTTGGACTTCCCAGCCCCCAGAATTGTAAGAAATAAATTTCTTTTCTTTATAAATTACCCCGTTTCAGGTATTCTGTTATAAGTAACAGAAAACAGACTAATACACATGAAACCCTGGAAGACTTGTAGCCCAACAGTGTAATTTTGCATTATTTTTCCTCAAAAGCATATTTCTGAAATTCTCTAGCAAAGAAAATATTAGAGGTTAGCAATATAAGCAAACAAAAAATACTAGGTAAATGCATCTATTATTAATAGTGATTTCAGTGCTCCAAGGTTCTTACAAGAACTAGAGACAAATATTATTTCATTTCTTTGAACTACTTATTCGTAATAGTATTATTTGGAAGTGGTATAGCCAATTAGTTAAAAAAAACAGACTTTGGAGTCCAACAGACATGGTTTCAAAACCTGTTTGCCCATTTGCTGGGTAACCCTGGTTAAATCACTGAATCCCTCTAAGTTGTTACTTGCCCTAACAGAGGTGTTGTGAGAATTAAATGATAATGTATGTAAAGCACATTAAATAGAGATTGCACAAGATATTCACAAATGGTAGCTATCATTATTACCATCATCACTGTCATCAAGGAGGTCTTAAGGTTACACTACACTGGGTGTGAGAATGTATGTGTATATCTTTAAAAACAGAGGCAAAAGTTATAATATCCTGGTCTTTTGAGGCAAAATTATACTTAAAATTACAACTCAAGTGAACTCATTTGCAAAACTAAGGGAAAAGAATCTGATTAAGTTATTAAAACAAAGTAGAACTGACTATGAGACAGTAAACTCAGCAGGCTATATAACTTAAGATTCTACAAGCTTTAGCTATGATTCTGCCAGTGATTGCCACTGAATGAGATAGTCACTTATTCTTTGTTAAGGAAACCATTAATACTAACCCTGGGTGACAAATTACATACTTAATCTTTCTGCTTATCTTCAGAGGTAGCAGCAAAGCATTCTTGGACCTCACCTTGGATTTTAGGTTAAATCGAAGCAAGCTTCATGACTTTAATGAGGCTAACCTCTAGACCCAGAAGCACAGCCTGAGATAACAGGAAATATGCCAAACATTATAGTGGACGATAAGTACTTTCCAAAAGTATACAGAGATCCCAACAACCTCAGAGACTGCCCTCATCTCAGTGGTGAAAGTATAAGCAGGAACAGAAAAACAATGCTTCCTACCTATCCTCCTGTGAATTCTTTCCAGATCGCCTCTTATTTTTAGCTTCTCGGGGAGATGATCGAATTTTCTTAGCAGGAGGACCCGAATCTCTTCCATAATCTTCATCTAAACAGAGGGTTTTTCAAATTCATTTAACTATATTACGATTTTCACATGTTAAAATCACCATTGTATTCACCGACATAATTATCTATCATACTATGTAAATGGTGAGAGGGGAAAGATTTCCCAAATAGCTTTTTAAAAAAAAATTAAATTCTTTTCCACCCCAGTCCCACCACCTTAACTCCATATATTACCCTCTAGTCCTCATGTATATGTATTTCATATCTATACCCAAATATCTCATCATTTTAAATCCTATCCTTTTAATTTATGAAAGATTTCCCCATGTTCAACATCTTAGTATTTATTTGAAAATTACTATTGTAAACAGTTATATCACAAGCATTTTAGAAAGTAAAGAACCTATAACTCTACAATCCTAACACAATTTCTGTTACCAAGCAAATTACTTTAGTTTAAAAGTATTACTCACTACATTTTTAAAAGGAAAAAAAAGATAAAGAGCTAGGAGTCAACAAAAAGGTTAAAAAAGCTATTTGTTGGGCCGGCCCGTGGCTCACTGGGGAGAGTGCGGTGCTGATAACACCAAAGCCACGGGTTCGGATCCTACATAGGGATGGCCGATTGGCTCACTGGCTGAACGTGGTGTTGACAACACCAAGTCAAGGGTTAAGATCCCCTTACCAGTCATCTTTAAAAAAAAAAAAGCTATTTGCTGGCTAAGGAACCTTGAATAATATCTCTGACTCAGGTTATATCCCACATTAATAGGATTGCTCTAAGGAATAAATTACTAAATACAAACACTATGAACAATTCCTGGCATGTAGCAAGCATTTAATAAATGTTAGTATTATCTCTGGGGGATAGGATTATATGTTATTTTTTTTTTTTACTCTTCTTTATACCTTTCTGCATTTTCTAAGTTTTCCCAAAGGGTACATATTATCTTTATAAAGTAAAGTTCGATTTAAGAAGAAAGAAAAAAAGAAAAAATAGTAAATGCATCTGGAAAATAATAATGAGATTAAGGATACACCATTTTACGATGAATTAGTTCACAAGTCAAAGTTGATCCATAAAATAGACTCTCATCTTAGTTACTAATACGTTATGCAAAAACTTAAATACCCCTTAATACAAGGTACAAGTTTTACAGTGGTAACAGCAGGAGATATCTTAAGTAATAAACACTGTATTAGAACTACTGGACATTTAGGGATGGCTGATTAGCTCAGCTGAATAGAGCGTGGTGTTACAACACCAAGGTCAAGGGTTTGGATCCCCATACTGGCCAGCAGCCAATAAATAAATAAATAAATAAATAAATATTGGATGTTTACACCTTGGACTCTAAAACCAGGTAAGAAAAAATTAAGATCCATGCAAGTTCAACTTTGTTTTGGTTGACACAGATTGCAACATAATTTGGATATATTCTAAAAATAAAAAATAAAACTTATTCCAAAAGTGTGACAAAAAGTACATAAGCTAGTGATTCCTCTACTGGTCAGTCCAACCTACAATCTGTTGAAATCACAAAACTTACCTGCATCATCAGATTCCTGAAACTGTGAGTAATCAACGACCTTCCTATTTCTGTAGAAAGAAGAGATTCATATTAAGATCATAAAAACGTAGGACTTTTCTAAGATATCAGAACACACATTTCTGTATCATAAACAGAATCAGACCAGCTCTCTGAAAATTATTTAAAAGCCCCCACTTCAGCTAAAACAGTTCCCATTTTGTTAGAAGAAAATGTAGCTTAAATCTAAAGTATTTCAAACTACAATTCTCATCCTCAGCGATAACTCAAATATCATTCTTCCCCACAAAACCTCCTGAAACACACTTCCATAAAAAATAGCAAAATGAGCCAAATTACCATATTTATTCGTTATACACAGAGACATCACATTTATAAGCCAAAATTATGTTATTTTATTCTTACTGCTATATACACATACACATGTATACTTGATAACAAGGTTGTTAATAAGCTTTTTTCAAGGCCAAAGCAATTGTTAGATATAATATACTTACATATAATACACAAAAAATTATGGTAACATTAAGTTAAGCCTTACACAGAAAGGAAGGAAAAAAGTCAGCTGGCTGGTCCACTTGAAAGATGCTTTCTATTAAAGGGTATATACTTTTGAAAGCCTTACAAATCTATGTATCTACCTACTTGACTCTAAATGATTTTAAGTACTCCTTACCAGGTAAGTCATGCTTTAACATCTTGAATAAATCTTAATTTCCATTTTCCTACTTTGTATTCTAAATTTAAAGTTAAAAATTCTTCCTCTAGAGATACCTAATAGCTTTTATGTTATCACCTGAACAGCCTAGCTTGCCAAACAGCCTTAGATAAAAGATGTACTGTAGGCCTAAATGGATACAAGTGAGCTGAAAGGATTAAGAGAAATATACACGATCAACTACACTTAAACCTAAGCAGGGGGATATTACTGGTTGTATGGTTAAGACACCATTTAAATTCAAAGACAGGATAGTCAGAATGCGAGTACTGGTCCACCTTCTATCATAACATGTAAAGATAATATAGGCAGGTGATACATGTTTTCATGTTTTGAAAACATGCTTGGGGCTTACATGTGAAGGAAGATATTATCACACCCTCAGCTTTGAAGAAAAAAAAGTGCTCTTAATTTTGCTTTGATTTTTAGTCTACCGAAACTATAAAATATGCTCCAACTATATATATATATATATAAATTTTTTTTCCCCTTTTTTTGACCGGTAAGGGGATCGCAACCCTCTGCACGGTGTGGTCTGCACCACACTCAGCCAGTGAGTGCACCGGCCATCCCCATATAGGATCCGAACCCACGGCCTCGGAGCTACCAGCGCCGCACTTTCCCGAGTGAGTCACGGGGCTGGCCCTCCAACTATATTTTTTATAATGGGTACTCAAAAAGCTCATGGAAAAACAGAATTAAAAGATACACCAAGGTCAAGGGTTCAGATCCTTGTACCATCCAGCCACACACACAAAAAAGATAATATGAATCTTTCCATGAACTTTTTGAAGACCCCCTTGTAAGAAGCTCAGTTTATAGTATCAAATACACCATACTATTAGGAAAGGTAACCTTAAAGATATGAATAGTGGTTGCCAGGGTCCAAAAGACAGAGAAATAGGGAGTTGGTTGTTTAATGGGTATACTTTTAATTTTGCAAGATAAAGAATTCTGGAGATTTGTTGCACAACAATGTGAATGTACTTAACAGTACCAAACTGTATACGTAGAAATGGTTAAGATGACAAACTAAGCAAATTTTACCATAAAAAAAAAAAAAATATATATATATATATTTTTTCTTTCTAAAAAAAAATAAATAAAAAAGACTACAGCTGGTCCTCCATATCCATGGGTTCCATATCCAGGGATTCAACAAACTGCAGGTGAAAAATATATATAAAAAACAATACAAATAAAAAAATACCGCATAGCAATTACTTACATAGTATTTACATTGTATTATATATTATAAGTAATCTAGATATGATTTAAAGTATATGGGAGGATGTGCATAAGGTTACATGCAAATACTATGCCACTTTATATAAGGGACTTGAGTATCCTGGGGTTTTGGGGTATCCCTGGGGATCCTGGAACAAATCCCCGTGGATCCTTAGGGAGGACTGTATTCAGAAATCTAATATTTTGGGGCTGGTATGGAAATGCCTACTATGTTCTGGCAAAATTGTAATTTTTAGTGACAAATGCCATGAAAAACAGTATAATGATCATAATGCAATGCATTTTCTGCCTTATTTAGAATCAAGGAAAACAGGACATGGAACCAAGGGAAGGAAAGCATCTGGAAGAGGAAGGTTTAAGTCTTAATCTCTAATAATTAAGCATAATAATTTTAGTTTATCCCATGCTCGTGGGATGGTAACTAAAATATTACTCAATTTCTGGGTGTCATATAGCACTGTATATATCCTATGAGATTACATAAGGGAGGGCAACCAGAATGGTGATGAGTATATCCATATTGTAAAAACTGAATCATATCATAGTATAACAACTGAATAAATTGAGAATATTTAACTTGCAAAAGGGGAAACATGTGCTACTTTAGGGCCTTGACATGAAAGGAGTAGTAAAGGTACCTGGCTTTAGCTTTAGCAGTCAGACTATAAGCATGGGTTCAACAAAAAAAACCTTTCTAACCATTCGCTAATGATGGCTACTTTCTAAGGCCATAACTAGAAACACTCCAAAAAGGTATTATATAGTACAAAGCACAGAATCTTTGTTACTAGGAATCCTGGGTTTGGTTCTAGAACATCAAGCAAATCATTTAATTTCTCTGGATCTCAGTTCCTCCTATGTTGAAACTGATGACCTAAGTTGCTTGACAGATCTAAAAGATATTCTATAAAATTAAATTGATTATTAAAGTTTAACAGATAGATTATCTTTTCTATTGCAAACAGTCAACTATCCTTTGCACACTTCACATCTTATCACATATCACTGTACCATTTATTTTCCTCACTAATCTGAGCTTCTTAGAGATAACAACCATGTCTTATATCCACATTTCTGGTACAAGGCAAGGTAAAAAGTAGGCACTCAAAAAATATTTTCTGAACTGTTGGCTCTAAGGGCCACATTTAAGAGTTCTGTTAGAAGCTTAATTTTATAGGATAATATCCATTCTCCTTAAAGCCTTTCATTATCTCATCTTGTGCTGCTTAACAACCAAGCAACCCAGGAAGTTTATAATTCTCCAATCCTCTTGCTCCTTGTCCTAGAATGCGGTTCATATGACTCCCACCCATATCAGATACAATCTCACCTCCTTCTCAACACCCTTATTTCTTTACTAATACTGTATAATCTACTAAATGTCTGTCTTTCCTACTGAATGTGATCTTCCTGTGAACAGGGGTTGTCTCTTCTTTATTAGGAATACCAAATTCAAGAAATGTGTTTGATAGGTGAACAGAATGGCATGTGCAAAAGGATAAGGGTGGGAAAAGTCATCAGTAGAGAGGATGTCTAAATGACTGGCATTTTCAGCCTGTCAGACACTTAATTAACAACCACACTTAATGACAAAAGAAAACGTAGTTTCCTCTGTACTAAATAACTTATTACTTTTAAACCTAAGAAAAGTAAAAAAACAAACAAAAAACATCTAAGAAATGTAAAAGTCTACTATATAGTACATTTTTTCTATCCTTGTTTTCAACAGAGAACTATCAAAATGCTATAAGACTACACTGACATTATGTGAGAAATTAAATTTCAAAATTAAGTTAAAAGACTATCCCTTCCTTTGAAACACAAAATATTTTAACTTTCAATGACCTGAAAACAGAATTATTAGAATTATCTTATATGGTCATTTATCACAAAAACTTTAAAACCAGAGTAAAGCAAAATATGAGTATAAAAAGAAATCCTGTTTTATTAAGATCAAAACTAAGTGCAGCCATCCATAAATGCTAAAAAGAGAAAAGAAAAAAAAAAAAAGAGAGATCTGTGGCAATAAGTGTCATTTATAGTAAATCAGCATAATGACATAATAATTTGGTTCGTTTCCCAAACTATGTCCTGCCTTTTAAAAATGATTATTCAAAATAGCATACTATTTCTACTATGTGGATATTTGCCTTATTTAGGGTTGAAATACATTTTTGATTAATTTGTTTCTATGAAAACTGGAAATTGAGAAGATATGTTAGGATTGAAACCCAACACTTATGGGCCGGCCGGTGGCTCACTCGGGAGAGTGCGGTGGTGATAACACCAAGGCCACGGGTTCAGATCCTATATAGGGATGGCCGGTTGGCTCAATGGCTGAGTGTGGTGCTGATAACACCAAGTCAAGGGTTAAGATCCCCTTACCGGTCATCTTTAAAAAAAAAAAAAAAAAGAAACCCAACACTTAAGAATAACATTTAAGTCCTAGGGCATAGGAAGTTCTATTTCTAGCTGAAAACAAAGAAACATTCTTAGTTCATCAAAATATTACTTAAATGCCAAAGCTAAACTAACTCTTGAGTGTAAAATGAGTGCCAACAACTAGAACTGAGAAGCCAATACAAAATTTTAATGTAGCAGAGGTTAAAAATACAGATTTTTTAACTGAATTTAAATCCTGACTCTGCCACTTACTAGTTGTATGTCCTTGAGCAAGTTACTTCCCCTCACTGAACTTCAGTTTCCTCACCTGTAAAACAGGAATAACTATACCTATCTCTCAAGATTGTTGTGAGAATGAGTGCCAGGAATATAATAACTATCTAACAAATAATAGCTGTTATTACTTACAAGCATTGACTTGTTCCACCCAGAATACCACCACAATTTTGAACACACACAATTAATCCTATTTAAACATGACGATTTAAAAATACGCAAGTTTTAAGAGTATTGGTTCTAGTACCATTTAGAAAAATTTTATTAAAAGGTTTCTTGCTCATTTTATTAAAATGCATTAGCAAAATACCTCCCTATATTTATATTATTTCCTAATTTATGGCAAAGTTTTCAGGTTGCCATTTAGGCCAGAGAAAGTAGCAAGTAGTAGCTATTTTAAAGTCATCAAACAA